AGGCTAAGGGATTGAGGCAAATAATGACTAAGTAAACTCTTTCTAATTGCTCTACTCTCTAGCTTCTTACCATTTCAATAAACTTTATTCTAAAGTTTATGTCCTTTCTTAAGGATTTATCCCTTGTTAAAGCCTTTTAAAGATTGTTATCCTGACATTTTCAGGACTGAAAACAAAATGGAAAACATGATCCTATGTTTATACAAAATCCTGCTTAAAGTTTGGCAGGTCCTCAAGAAGTTCAACACGGAATAACCACATGACCCAGCAATACTACTCCTAGCTTTATACTCAAAATTATTGAAAACATATTGTCAACACAAAAACTTGTACACAAATGTTCATAGCAGCATTAGCCATAATTACCCCAAAGCGGAAACAGCCCAAATATTCGCCAATTAGAATGTGGTACAATGGAATATTACTTGGCCATAAAAATGAATGAAGTCCGATACTTGCTATGACATGGATGAATCTTGAAAATATTTTACTAAGTGAAAGATGCCAGACATGAAAGGCCACATATTATCTGATTTAAATGAAACATCCAAAATAAGTAAACCACGGAGTCAGAAAATAAATTAGTGGTCATCCGAGACTGAACTGGTGGGGAGGGCGGGGAGAAGGAGTGACTGCTAATGGGTACAGGGTTTCTTTCTGGAGTGATGAAAATGTTCCAAAATTCGACAGTGGTGATGATTGCACAACTATATAACTATACTACATACTACTACGTGTATGTAGTATACCACTAAGTTGTACACTTTAAAATGGTGGATTATATCTCAATTAAAAAAGAAAATAAAAACAAAACAAAAAATCCTGCTTAAACTAAAGGGAAATGTTGTTTTTTTGTTTTTCCCCCAGGCTTATCCTAGAACAATAATTTTGCCTTGGTGAAGTCTCTCCTAGTATGTTGAGGCTTGTCCGTGGCTGCTGACTGATTGGCAAAGAGTTACATGTCACTCAGCAAACATCTATTAGGAGGTGTCGGGGAGCAGGCAAGGGGGAGACACAAGCATCGCTCAACAAGCACAATGGAAGAGCAAACCCCTGGGCAGCTAGCTGCACGCCTTCCCCAGAGTCAGGGGTCGCTGCTTTGAGGTCAGTATGCACTCGGTAAACTGAAAATGTTGCCAACTGCAACATACCATTTTCTCCTTCCCCCAAATAAATAAATATCCGGAGTTTGCCTGTACTTCTTTTTAAATATTAACATTTTCAAAATGTTAAGGGGCATCACTGGCTTCAAGTGTTTCTATATTTGAGAAACATATTTACAAGGTTCTAGACCTTTAAGAATTCATATTTTCAACAGCTCTGCTCCTAGTCTTCATCTCTACAGACTGAAACATCCTCACGATTTGGGTGTCTTCATAGGGCAGCCTGTCCCTCCATCACCTTGACCTCCGGGCAATGGGCCCTCCATCAGTACACTTTCCACAGGGCCAGAGCTACACACAGCACCGCAACACTATTTTTTGTATGAACACAAGATCACATTTTCCATTTTATTTACAATATCAGAAACTGCATCATAACGCTTAGCAGGAGATGTGACTATACCAAGTAAGACAAATTTTTTCTTTAATTGGGCATACATTGAACTTCATGCATAAATAAGTATTGTGCATAAAGTTAATGCTAAGAGAACTTCAAGGAACTGCCATCACTCTCATCACTTCTTTAACTCCTCTATGGGGGCTATATTAAAAGCCAAGTGATAAGTCAAACCAAACCACAATTTCTCCACCTTATAGTCACACCTTAATTCTAATTTTTAAAACTGTTACATCTCTGTGACTGCCAACTCTTTCCTAAAGCAACCCCCTAAGAACAAGAATTTACTCTGAGAGTAAATCTAGATGAGGAGCTCCAAAACTATAAAACCCTCCCTTGGTGATGACCCTGAAACCATACACTCTTTTGGAGGCATTAATTTTGGTCCTTGTTTTCAAAGATTATTGAGTAAAAACTATACACAATTATAAATTCACTAGAGGCCCGGTGCATGAATTTGTGCACAGGTGGAGACCAGCTGGCCTGCCCCGATCGGGGCCAATTGGGCCGAGCCGGCCAGGGGGACGGGACGCAGGGGGTTGGCCAGCCGGCACTGCTCACCAGTCGAACTCCCAGTTGAACTCCCGGTCGAGGGGACAATTTGCATATTAGCCTTTTATTATATAGGATTGTAAGTTTTGAAAAATATGAACACATGAATAAAGACAAAGGATCTTTCAAAAATTTCCTTTAAGTTACTGTTAGACTGTTATTACACTAAAAAGGAAGATGCATCATTCTGATCCTACACAATGTTCCAATATCTCAATAGTCCACCGCAACTCCCACATCCCTTCTTGGTCAAGGCCCTTGACCCTGAGCCTGTCTGCACAGAAGGATGTGAGTTATTTTCCCAGAGAGAACGTCACCAAACATCTGCCCACACAAAGGCTCAGCTGACTTTTCTACCCACTCACACAGCTTTGTAAGGGCTCCCTCCCTTCTCTCTCTCAACTTGGTGTCTCACCGAGCAAAAAGGCTACGTGTCACTTACAGTGAGATGACTTATAAAAATAGCAACTTCAGCTAATCCCTGCACTAATCCCTGGGCAGTCCATAGTTTGTGCCTCTATCCGGCAGGGCCACTTACATCCTTGCTTGATTTCTTATTTCCAAGATAACTCAACAGACAAATAAAACATTTCTCAAATATACGATGACTCAGAGCTCTCTCTAACGAAAACAAGAAGCAGGTGGAGTGCCTCCGACATGCAGAGCTGTGCTAATCCTTTTCGGAGAAGCTGAGAATCCCTACCCAAAACTTCATCTGGCTGGGATTCTAGAATTTATGCCTCTGGCCATTACTCTTTGAAAATAATAATTTTAACTTTTTAAAGTGCAATTATTCAAAAAGCCTCATTTAAGCCTCTGAACATAGCTGTGAGGAGTGAAGGTGAGAAGACCCTGAGACGGAAGGGTGGGGTAACCTGCCCGGGGCCTCTGAGCGAGGGTCAGGGCCAGAGCTAGACCCCAGAGGGCCAACCAGGTCCATGACCTTTTCACTGTGCCAAGCTGCCCTGGCATCTAACTAAGCCACCTGGAAACAGAGATTGCCAGGGGTTTCCTAGACGATGGCATAGAAGACAAGGCTACAGATCAATGGAATAAGGTAGGGGGTGGGGGGGGGGGAAGCTGCCTTCTCTCAACAAAGTAATACTTCCTAATCTAGCATGTGCACATCCATCTTTTGACATCGGAGACTCTGATATGTGAACACTGGATAACAGAAGCGGTGAACTAGAAACAACTGCGAGCTCTGCCATCACAGAGACCTGGGATTGAATCCAACCAGGAGAGCTTGAGCAGGTTACTCCTCACCCACAAAGTGATGCTACCTGCTTTAGGGTAGGTCAAGTATTTAGCACATAGCTGGTGTGCGCATCCGTTAGTTTCCTTATATTACAACTAGAGGCCCGGTGCACGAAATTCATGCGGGGGGGGGGGCGGTCCCTCAGCCTGGCCTGAGCCCTCAGGGGATGTCTGACTGCCTTGGGGATCGGGCCTAAACCAGTAGTCGGACATCCCTCTCACAATCCAGGACGCTGCATGCACCAGTGACCATACTTTTCATACAG